CATTAAAAATATTTGAATTTTTTACGATACTCATATTCTAATTTGAAAATATTATAACAATGAGTGCATGCTTTTTTGTATTATTAAGAAAAATATTTTCAAATCGAATATTATTAACTTTTAGCTCTAAGTTTCACTGTAATATAATGGTGGTATATGTTTGTATTTGATTAAAATTTGTTCAATAATTTCGTTTGATTGGCTCTGATACCTTGCAACAGTTTGATTATGTTTCTCGGCTTTTTAAATCACCTTTTTTATTCACTTTCAAATTAGAATTTTCGTTTTTTAATTGGAGTTATAATTTTTCCAATAAGATTAGTCAAATTTTCAATTGAATTTTCTTATTTTTCCATGTTTATATAGAATCAAATTGTTATTTTCAAAAACTTATGAAACAAAAATGATACATAATATGAAAGGACTCTTTCTACTTGAAAATTATGTTATACAAGTATATATATGACACTAACTCACCTTCTTTTCACCCGGTGAATAAAAGAGAAATAAAGGTGTAATCAAGACCTTAAAATTCCTTTGGTAATATTATTTTACAATTAAATTTTTCTGTTGATTTCATGATTTTAGCTTTTTTGAAATAAATTTTCTTTAAATGAGCCCCCAAATTTTCAATAAAAACAGGTGTTCAATAAGAGTATGTTGAATACAATAATCTAATTTCTTTAAAATCTTGCTACTCAAATTTGAAGAATATTTCAATAAGCGGTTTAATTTTTCAGATTTTCACAAAAAATTTGATTAGCTTAAACCTTTTCAATGCCCTTTTGGAGCTTTATTTGAATTCAAAAAAATGTCAAGAGAACATCTTTTCAATACAAAATACAGAGACAGCATCAACAGTTCCCCAAGTTATTAGACCCTAAATATTTAAAAAAAAAAATAAAAGAGCAAGCAAACATTATTTTTGTTGCATTTTAAATTTTTATTTTCTCAAATTTTCTTTTTATATTTTTCTTTTGTTAATTTTTATTATTTTTTTTTAATTTTTTTCTTTTTAATAAACACCTTCTTTGATTTTCACCTGCTTTTAAATATAATATAATAATATACTTTTTTTTTTATAATTTTATAACTTTTTTTTTGTTTTATTTTTATTTATTAACTTTTTATATGTTATTTAAATTCATTTTGTTTTTTTTTTATTACCTTAATTATAACTTTACATACTTAATGCATACATTTTAGAACTTAAAAATTATATTAAATAATTAATTATATTTTAATATTTTTTTTTTGTTTTAGTTTACAGCAAACACAAAAAATAAAAACATATTATTATTTTTTTTTTTATTTTTTTTTTTTTGTGATATAAATTTATTAATATTTTGTTAAATACATACTAACATATTATTATTTTTTTTTTGATATAGAATTACAATATTTACTATACAATATATTATTGCTACAATTAATATTTGAATTTTGCAAAATATATAAAATCAAAATATCATAAGATAAAATAAAATTGATAATTTAATTAGTTTTATAAATTATAATTAAAATAATATTTTATGAATTTTAATTGATTTTAAATGAATATTGTGTTCTTAATAATATTTTTTTTATAAAAATAATAATAGTAATTATTAATTAATAAAATATAAAAATAATTTATGATATTTGCATGACACTTTCGTAAAACATTTTGAGAGCATATTTAAAATATTAAATTGAGCATTTTATTAGTATTTATTAAATGAATGTATTAGGTATATGTAATTTTATATTGTTATAATTACATATTGCAATATGTTATATATATATCACTCATTTTATTGCAACATTAATGTAACTCAAAAAATATGATTTAACGTATAAGTTATTTATACAGAAGAAAGCAGTGAAAACGTTTCTTTTTCATGAAAAAGGGAAAATAATTCTCTTAACTTGAAAATAGTCATTTAAAATAAATTATAAAGAGAAAAATATATTTTCTCCAAAACTTTAAAATTCGATTTTCTCAAATTTGAGTTATGTCAGTGCTGTAGCAAACAAGCGATATTTAAATACATTATGCAACATCATTAATATTACTGATTACTGACATCATTTATAATTTGATATTGAAAATTTTTAAAAGAAATTAATATAGAGAATTCTATTATTATAAAGAATAAATCGTAACGTTAAATTGAGAATGCAGGAAACTTTTGAAAAATTCTTAAATGTTGAATTGCAGTATAAATATGCTCTCATTTTCAAATTGTTCTCAAGATTAATCAATCAATATTGATTATCATTATAGAGAAACCAAAGCATTTTGAGTATATTTTTTTCTTCTTATAGATCTGCATAGTTGTTTGTCCAAATATGATTTTCATATTTTACTCTATAAAATGTTTTAGAAAATGTTTAATTTACAAGAGAATAATTTTATTTACCCAAATACGAGTATGGTAGAAAAGAATATAATTTTTACTCATTCTTGAATACGCCTTCAATGAAAATACCATTGCTGCTGTATTGCATACAGCCTTATATTATTTATAACAAGCTGCACAAATTCGTTATATACAAGTTATATTAATACATAATTAACGTATTATGTACGTACGAAATCATAATATTTCGAATACAGTAATTCTATAATTACCGAATTTTTAACAAAATTTTATGTAATAAAATTGAAATATAACATTTATATTATTTTGAGATTATTTCTCTATATTTAGAAATTATTGAAAATTTAAGAGATTTTTATTATGAGAACAATACGACGGAACAGAATTTATTTTATTAAAATGTTATTTATGGTGGTTTTTATATTATAGCAGGCATGATAATGTTTCTCATAATGTGAATATAAATAATTGAATAAAATAATTAAAAATTAATAAATTATGTGAATTTGATAGGAATTTTAAAAGAAATACTTTTTCTCTTAGAATTATTATTTAAAGTGAGAAGAAAATACGAAATTCTCATTTATAATTTTTTTAAGCGAAATGGAAATTAAATGAAATTTTATACAAAAAATTGAAAATTCTTAATTGAATTCACAATTATTGGCAATTAATAAATTAAAATTCATTAAGGTGTCTCTATTGCAATAAATTAGGATAATTATAATACGATTATTTAATCTTATATATATTTTTGCAATTAATTATTTTTATTTTATTATTATAGAGCTGCTTAATACTTTTATTAAAACTAATTGATCTTAACTATTGTATTCTTCATTTTATAATTTAATTTATAATTATATTTTTGTATTATTTCATTAGGAAAGGCATTCATATACACTATTTTTATAATTTTTATGTAGATTATTAATTATTTATAATGTTTTTTTTCGTGTTTTAATTAGCTATTTACAATTGTTTCTTTTTTTAATAATAATTTTTTTTGTTTTACTTATTTATAAATTTTATGTTTCAATAACCTTTATTTTTTTGATGCAGCCTTTGATTCATTACTTTTTTTTCTTGTGTTATATTTATAATATTATTTTAATTACTGGGGTACTTAAATTTCATTGATTTTAATGATTTTTTTTAATTATAATAATAATAATTTTAATTTTAATTAATATTAAAATATAAATTGATTATTTAGCTTTTATTTATATTGTATTTTGTAATTTATATATGTGTTTTTTTGTTTATTATTTTTTGTGTAATATCAATCAACTCATTTTAATTAAATATAATATTTTTTTTGTTCAATGATAATTTTATTTTGATAATTTATTCAAATTTATTTTAATTTGTTTTCTTTTGTTGGATTTGAATATTAGCTTTTTTGTTGTTAAGTTGAAATAAAAAATTTTCTTATAATTTTCTTTTTATAATAATGAGTTTAATTATTTGCTGACAGTGTTTTTTTTTAATAATTTTTCTTTTATTGACTTTTTGAATAATTTAATTACATTATATAAAATGCAGTACAAAAATTTTTTTAAAGCAAATTCAACCATTATGTAGATGTGCTTTTGTAAAATTAATATAAAATATTAAAAAACTATTGTAATGGAAATATTATTGACTTCTAAAATACAATAATATGATATTAATACACAATTCAGCGATTCATATTTATAAGCTGAATTGTAAATTATACTTAGATTTGCGATTTTGTGAAGTAGATTGTAAATTATATTGCGATTTTTACTTCTGAAATGTAGAAGTTTTTTATTTACAGCTTATTATAACGAATGAGATAACAGTACAATAAGGAAATCGAGAAATATAATAAACAGTACAAGAATAAAGAAATATAACATCTTCTGACGTTACAATATTGCAATAATATGGCACTAAATTTCAATTCAGCTAATGAATTTTAATTGCTGAATTGTTTACTGATACCATATATTACTAAAATTTTAATTTCAATTATTTGAATTGTTTTCTGAAATGTAAAGGTGTAAAATAATGGTTGCCTTAAAAAAATATTATGTATTACATAAACATTTTTAATATTTTTTTTGTTATTATTTATTTATTGTTAGATTTATTGTTACGCGTTATTATTATGTATTATTCTTTCCGTAAAGTTTTGAAGCTTTGTTTTTGTCGTGATTTTTAAATGTATTTTATAATTTTTGAATTTTAGTGTGCCCAAAATTAAAAATTGTTTATCGAAATATTATGTTTTATAGTTTTAAATTCTATTATATCATAGAAATAAAATTATTACTAAATTCTTGAAATAAATTTACCAATGCTTATGATATTAATTAAAAATAGAATTTTAAACTTAATTAAATGCTTAATCGTAATTAAGGAAATAGCCTATAAAACTGAAAGAAAAAATAAAAATACCATTCGTATAACATAAGATTTATTCCACACAAGATTTAATTAGTTAATTGGTGACGTGAATTAATTGAATTAATATGGTTACGTGTACGAAATTTGTACTAAAAATTTTCATATTTTGTTTCAGCATTCTAGCAGCCTGATTTTATGTAGTAATTTTTTAGCCACTTTCTAGTCAGTATTTTAATATTTTTAATTGGATTTTTTTATTTCATCTCAAAGTGTTGATTGAACTTGTAACCTTCAAATATAAAGTGATTGAATGGTAACGGATTTGACATTTTTTTGGACAAAGTAAGCAGAACAATATGAATTCAAAAAAATGCAGCTAGAAAATAACGTAATATGAATATACGAAACACACTCATCTTCTACTCACCTCTTGAGTAAAAATGTGAGATACGCAATCTGGCTCCGAATTTTTTAATATTTTACTTAATATAATTTTAATTTTTTTTAATATAATTAAAATAAAATTAATGAAATGAAAAGGTATCGGATAATTTTATTAATATTAAAAGACATTGTTATAATAATAAATAAATATGTAATAAATATGTAGTAAATTGATATAATTTAAAGAAGAAAATTTGAAGAAGAGAAGAATAGTGTTCGAAAAAGAGAAAATAAAATTTTGTTACTCATTTATTTACTTTTAATATAAAGATTGTGTGTAGGTGATTTATATAAGTGTTTATTATATTTTATAGGTATTTTTTTTTATTTCCGTATTTTAATTGTAGAGGCCGCTGCATTATTTTGTCATAATTTTCAGATATTTTTTTTTTATTATAATTTATTCTTTTATTTTCATACTATAAACAATATACAATATAGTTATATTATGCAACTATCATTAAATACTAAATATTTATTTTACTTATATAATAATATATTATTCTTTTGCAAATTCCATAATAATAATTTTACATAACAAATAATTTAATTTATAATCATTATTATTTTTTTAATAAATTATTATTTTCTTGTTCTTATAATCTAAAATTCTTAATTTAATATAATTCTTCTTTCATTTTTCACTATAATTATTCTGTATGGGGAAGGTTAATCAGATATTTCTGTCTTGAGCAACAAAACTTAGAAGCCTCTAGCGGCTATTAGATTAAACTCTTTAATGATTATTCAGAAAAGGATGAAATCTATACAGTACATATATCAGAATTAGCCTTCCTTCCATATACAGGATAATTACATTTTTGTTTTATTTTTTTTATTAATTTTTATTTTATCTTAAATTTTAAATTCTATAAAAATTTCTATCAATATTTTCTTTTTTTATTTTTAGTACTAATAATAATGATCTTTAATTTTATTTTTTTTTAAAATAAAAAAATTTTAGAATTATTCTTAAAGAAAATGTTAAAAATAAATTTTTATTGAAATAAAATATTCACTGAAAATCATATTTGAAAAAAATTCTATAAAATAAATAAACTATTATAAAATATTTTAATAAATAATGCAGACTTAAATTATTAGCGATATCTTCTTGTGAAAAATCTGTATATCCTTTTGATTTTTCACCACCAGGTGATTTTTGTTCTGATTTATCAATTTCGTTTAATGATGATGGTAAATGTTTTGTTCCTTTATTTGAAGTAGAAGAAATCGGGAGAGAAAAATCAAAATAAATTTAATTATTAATTGTAAATAATATTAATTAATATAAAAATTTTACAGAAAAGCACAATATAAAATAAAATGAAGGTTTTGATGGTCTCCTATGATTTCCACAAATATTCACCTTAAATCGCCAAAACAATAGAAACAAACCATTGAAAATGAGAGTCTATTTTTTAAAACTCACCTTTTTCTAAATTGTTTTTACTATCAATCAACCAATTATTAAATGCTATGACAGTTGTGAAACCATAATATTTAATTGTTGTTGGTTCTGTTGCTATTGTAGTTGTAGTTGGCGGAGGTATCGTTGTAGGTGGCTCTTTACCTTTATTGATTTTATTAGTTTTTTTGTTTTAAACATTAATTTGTTAGTCACATTATTGGATTAGATATAATAAAATAATAAAAAACAATTATTTGTTAGAAAAATTTTATAAAAATTTTAGTCAAGAAAAAAATTAATTTTAGCAAAATGATTAATTTTAACACAAAATTGTTATTTTAAAATAAAAAATACTCACTATAAAGTTTTATGCTTCCATCCATATGACCACGAGGATTTTTTGCAACACAATTATAAATTCCAAAATCATCTTTTTGTGCACTTGTTATATGCAGTCTCATTGTTGCCTTATATGATGGATTACCTTGTATTGTTTCCGTTCTATAAAATAAATTATATTAATAAAAATCTAAGACTTTAAGGCTCTAAACATTTTAAATTTAAGTATACTTGTATTTAATGGAATCTGTAATCATTTGACCATTCTCTCGTGTCCAATAATTTAATGATGTTGGATTTGCTTCAATATTACATTCTAATGTAACATTATAATCAATTGCAACACCAACTAATTGATGTGGTACCCATACAACTGGTGAAACTATAATTTTATTTATTTTATAATACAATTAAATTTTCTTAAATTATTATTATTATATTTTTTTAATTAAAAACTTACAATCAACATTAACTTTAATCATTTTAGAAACACTTGGTGGTATACCATTTGTTGCTATACATAAATATGCACCCATATCTAAACGGGATATTTTTTCTAAATCCAATACTTCACCTTCCCATTCTGATACTATATGTAAGTATACAATAAATAAATTATTATAATTAATATTTTTTTTTTTGAATGATAATTTTGAATTTTTTTTTAATTTTAATTTTCACCTTCTTTATCTTTTGAAATTTTAATTTTTCTACCATCATCACGTTTCCATTTTATTGATGGTTCAGGACTTCCTGTTGCATGACATCTCATTGTAACATTTTCACCTTCATGTGCTATTATATCAGTTGATGTTAAGGCATCATCAATATTTGGAGGAACTATATAAATTATACAAATATAGAAAGAGAAGTGCAAAATTAGTTCAGTAAGTTTTAATAATTAAAATTTTATAAATATATTAATGCATAAATATTTTTTCAACGGTAACATTTTTCATCTACAAGCCAATAACCTTAGTTTTCTTAAAATTTTTCAAAAAAATGTCTTAAATCTGACTTAGAATGTTTGGTACAGTTAAGCATAATAAGGATAATATTTTTGAATAAAATACGCGTACATAATATGTGAAATAACTTGAGCGTCCTAAGATAATAATTATTTAAAAAGATGACAACACTGTCCTTTCGTAAACTAATCTCCCACTGGTCTAATATAAAATTTTAAAATTTTTATAACAAATAAAACGTCCACCAAAACCATAAAATGCTAAACTATTTTCTAATTTTTAATATAATTTTATTTTATTTTTTAAAATTATGATTTAACAGCAATGACATTTTGACTCATGAACTCTGAACATTGATACTCAACATTCTAACCCCCAAATAATATTGCAGCATTCGAATAATATTCGACAGATCGTAGGTCGAAAATTTACAATCATTGCTATATAGAATGTTTTCAGTTTGCCATAGGTTATGTGGTAAATATTTATCATTCCTACCCTATGATATTTACCTTATTTCGCCTTTATGAAAAATTTACCATTTTTAAAGTAAATAAAATAAGATCCTTTAAAGGATTAAAGGTCAATAAAATATAAGGTATTTAAATTTAATTTTTATCGCTTTTAAATTTTTTTTGAAAATTGTCAACAAACTGATTTATTTTTTTTCCTTCTGTATCCTTTTTTTTTCCTAAATATTCAATAAACATTTCAATTTCCTTCTAATACAAACACAAAAAAAAGGAGTAGAAATTCTCCATTTAAATCAACAACAGCACTAAATCCTTGATAACTTTTATACATTTTTTTCTCCTTTCTTTATTTTTCCTTTAATTAATTCAAATTTTGTTAAAATGAAAACAACGACAATTTACCAATATTTTCATAGTAAAAAAAAAAAAAATAAATATTTTTTTTTTCCAATTTTCTATATCGCTTCCTCTTTTATTAACATTTTACGATTAAATCCGTTATTTTATCATAAACCAATAAAGTTCATTCACCCGTAAATAATTTGCAAAAAAAAAAACAAAACAACAAACGAAAAAATTTTTTTTCTCGCTCATATTTTTTAATTCAACATATTGTTCATTGCCATCATAATAAAATTGAATTAAATTTACATAATTATATTATTTTTGAGAGAAATTAAAATGAATATTATTACTCCTATACATAGGCAATTTGAAAAATTCTCAATTTTGAAATTCTCATAATTAATATTTACGATCTGTTTACGATATTAGCGTACTCTGTTATATTTGTTTTATATTTAGTGTATCGTTGATTTTATAATTGAGTGAGGAGGAGGAGATCTATGTTGAGGAAACTGACCACTTAATTATTATAGTTAAATATCGTTTGCAAAATTCAAATTTAAAAGGCGGATTCAAAATTTAAAAGGGCGAATTCTAGAATTCAAGGACTCTAGGATTAAGAAAAGAAACTTAAATTTATGGTGTATTTACATATATATTTTCGCAAGTAGTTTTTGTTATTTTACAGTTTCCTCTTTCGGCCAAGTTTGAAATCCTATATTATATAAGTTCAAAGCGAATCGCGTTATTAAGGCATATTTTGATGAATTTTAAATTAATCTTAATTTGAGGTTCAACACTTGCCACGGTATAATGAAAAAAAAGCTAATGCAATAATCCTTCGCTTAAAGACGTTTTTTGGAATCGAAAAATTACGACTTTAAGCAAGCAAAATGACCTATAAAATTTACTTAATATTCTAGAAAAAGTAAATTGAACCAAGATTAAACTAAACAAAAATTTATTTTGAAATCTAAAATTTTAAAATCTCTGACATTTTTATATAAAATTTTGCCTAAAACTTATTTTAAAACTTACAATTTAAATTTGAACATCAAAACTGCTGTGCTTAAAAGTATTTTCTTTTACTTATGAGCCATGATTTTTTAAAATTATTTCTATTTGAATAAAATTATGGAAACATGAAATTGAGGCAGACATCAAATAGTATTCTTATTAGATATTATTTCCTTAAAATATCGAATGAAGTTCTTTTTTTTCCATCAAGCAAAATTCACGAACGAATTATAGCAATTTAGCAATCAATTCAAACAAAATCGATGAACTAAATGTGATAGTACGAGTACATATAAATTCGAGCTTAAGATTCAGTAATTTTCAATATTTTAAATTCAATTTCAAATTATAAAACTATAATTACATTATTTTCCAATATGCCAACAACAATTCATCATGAACACATTAACTTTAAAAAAAAAAATAATCAAAAGAAAAAATTGTTTACTATTATTTGTTATATATACGAACATGTGTGTTCGAACATTCTGTTCCACTTGTACTTTTATAATAAGTTTTTTTTTTTTTTTTGGCAATCATTCAATAAGATAAATTACCAATCATTATGTTTTTATATCAATAAAAATCAATAATAAATATGGTAACACTGTCATAAAAGTTCAATAATAATAATAATAATAACAATAGTAATAGTAAGGAAGAAGGGAAATAAAATGCAAAGAAAATAATTAGAAAAAAAAAATCAAATTATGTAAAAATCCTTTTTTATTAAATTCGTTTCTCTAAGAATTTTCTATCAAAATCTACAATATATGGGGATACGAGTATACTCAGTTGTACAGAATGAAATCCAAAAACTAATTAATAAATAAACTTTGAAAATTTATCAAAAAAACAAAAAATTATATAAGAAAAAACAAGAATAACAGAAAAGAAAACTTTTTTTTTTTATTATAAAAATTTTCTGGTCGAAAATTGCGAAAAATTCTACGCCATTTATTCTTTCTTCGAATACTGATTGCCCTCCCATTCCCCTCTATTTTGCCGCAATCTATACCAACTGCACTACCCCCTTTCCTCCCACTCCCCCCCCCCACAACTTACAAAATTTAATTTCTTAATATTTAACTTTTGCTCAAACACAATCAATACGCTAAAAAAAAATTAAAGTCAGAAATACGACCAGAAAAAAAATTGAAAAATAAATTTTGATATCCTTGGAATTTTTTTTTCGTACCATTCCATTTCTCGAAACAATCATTATAGGCTACAACAACACCCAACAATAACAACAACAACAATAACTGAAAAGAAACTTTTTATTGAAAAAAAAAAAGAAATTTTTTTTTCTTTTTGTTGTAGTTTTGTGTAATATTTTGCGGTTTTAGTTTTATAAAAAAGTTTTTTTTACCAAAGAAAAAGAGAAAACAAACACTAAAATAAATTTCTTCAAATTATATAGGAGTAGATGTATAGACTATTTATGGAACACAATGCTAAAGAGAATGGAGTGAGTGTGGGGGCGGAGGGGTGGGGGGAGAGAATTAGTAAATATTTCATGCTGCAAAAAACTTATGTATTTTTGCTGACTGCTGAGTTTAATAGTAAAAAAAATATTTTTTTTTTTTTTTTTTCAGAAAAGTCAGCTGTTTATTAGCTGAATATTGAAAAAAAAAAAAAAAAAAAAATAAAAACTATTTTTTTTTTCTTTTTATTATTATTATTTTTTTGTTAGTTTTTAAAGTTGAAAGAAATTCTTTATGTTATTTTTTAAAGTTTCGCCTTAAAGAATTTTTTCTTTCAATAGGAATTTTAAATTACTTGGAATTGTACGGAAAATTAAAGAAACTTGTAAGGAATCCAGTGAATCATAATTTAAAAATCATCCCTAATATTAAATATTTTCAACATTATTAATTTGATATTAAAAATAAATGATTGGAAATGAGGAAATTTTAAAAAAATAACCAATCATAATAAGGACATTTTAATAATAATTATTCATAATCAATTAATCATTGTTTACGTAAAAACAAAAATTGGAAAATTATATAAATTATTGCAGGACGTGAAAGAATTAACGTACATGGTATAGAAGAAAATTGTTATCCATATTGCATACAAGAAATTTTTTAATGATATAGAATTTTTGAAATGCTGAAAATATAATCTGGACGTTAATATTGTCGGATTAAATTTATTTTTAACTAAATCTCTTCGTTCTTCTCTTCTTAATGGATTCAATGTTCAATTGAAATTATTCTACGTTCGCACTTTAAGAATAATATCGCAACATGTACTCGTAGAGGAAAGCGCAAGATACCAATTTTATGAAGAAAAATGGAGACTTAAGCCGCAACAAATCAAATTTTGAATCAGAATATTGCAGTCTTACATTTATTACAATAAAATATATTCTTTTCATATGATATTTAAAGTTACCATATAAAAATAGCTAGCGTAACTTTCAACTCAATTTACTTGAAACTATAAATTTAGAGATGTTGCGGTACTATTCTCAAGGTGTGATCTGTCTCAGATCTTAAATAATTTTACTAGAGCTATAGAGCTATAGTCTGAAAATTTGCAATAAAGAATATTTTACTAATAAAACTTCCATTCCATAATTTCTCGAAATACAAAGTGGTATTTCCATGTTAGTCTAGATATGATAAAACCGTTTACTGTATTAATGCATTTATCTCAAAAAAAAGGCTGTAATTGCACTATACCCCCTTTAATTTCCATACAGTAAGGAAAGAATAGAAATTAACTCGATTTTTTAGTATATAAATTAAATAGAGTTGGTGTATAATAATTATTATCAAAACATAAACGGAAATAATTTCGAACTGAAATCGATAGCAAAAATAATTTAGCAAATAATAGGAACAATATGATGTTCTATTCTTTACAAGAGTATATTACAGTTAATATTAATAAATATAACTAAGTAATGTGTAAAGATTGGAGTGATTTATAAATATCATTATAAAATATTGTAAAATTTTATAAAGGACCGAACATGGACAAATCTACAGAACTGATTTTATGAATTAATTTCAGATATAATTGA